TTGAGGATATAATCTTTAAAGGCAGTCAGCCAGTCACACGCACTCCTCAGCTATCACAGGGTTGCCCATCTTGTGTTATTTCATCAGACAATGAAGTCTTTCCTAGTGATATGTATATTATAACCTATAACAAAGCACGCAGGCTGCTCGTAGGACACCACACCCTATTACATCAAGAAATATACCAGCTAAATAATCAGTCATTGCTTCTTAACATATAAATAACGCCCATTAAAAGCCACAGAGCAAGAAACCACCCACAGAATGTTCAGCACTCTATGTAAAACCTATGAAATGGGGAAAACGGGTAGTACCAGATGAGCAAAAGGTAACAAGAGCCAAGGTGGGGATGACATTTTAATTAAAGTGTAGCTAAACCCAAGAAGAAAAATGTAATACCGTATATACCCCCCTCGGCTTATACTCGAGTCAGCGTCAGGTGTCTTCTTACTTACCTCGCCGAGCGTCGCGTCACTGCTGCTCCGGTGGGCGGCGCTCCGAGCGGGGTCATCTGGCAGTCTCCGGGTCCTAATTTAGCTGACTTAGAGGTGCCTGCCCGATAATTACAACCCCACCTGGAGCTCCTCCCACTGGACCAGCGCGCCGCTGACTCGTCCCTGCTCCGGCACAGTGAATCACAGTAAGTGAGGGGAGATTTGGGGGGATCTTAGCTAGGTTATTGTTTTTCTTTTAAATAAATATTCATGTAATTTTATTGGTATCTATCTACCAGTAGCTGCCTCATTTCCCACCCTCGGCTTATATTCGGGTCAATACTTTTTCCCAGTTTTTTGTGGTAAAATTAGGTATATTCGGGACGGCCTATACTCGAGTATATACGGTACATTTCAGCTTACCAGTCCTTATGCATGGTAAATGCATTTGTTTTTTTTTTTAGGTTAAGGACATTTTCTGCAAGTACAGGAAAATACAGCTAGAATTTGAAGGCATTCCAGTATCCTTCGAACTTTCTATGCACTCAACAGAAATCTCAAACATGTTACCAGTTATAATGTTTATTAGTCTGTCCAGTATTCTTTTGTGAACTAAAATGTTATGGAGATGAGGAGAAGGGAAAATGTTTGTAGGTCAAAATCAGGAGATATTCCTACGGTGCTTCATATATACAGTACAGTGAGTGAGCGGTGTCACCTTAGGTCAAGACACGTGTTAGTAGCAGGATCACCAGATGAAAATAAAGGGGAAAAAATCCTGTACAAAAAACAACATATGTAGCCGCAGCATGTTCAGGTTGTTCAGCTGCAATAAATTAAATTTTTGTTTTTGGCTTTAAATGCATTTTAACTGTTATTATTCTTCCCAAGCTGATTCAAGATCTCTTCAATGCTTTTAAATATAAAAGCTATATGAATAATGCTGTATATCTTTGCTGGACCATTGAAGGCCTCATTTCAACATAATTACAGAGCTTAAAACTGGCAATACACTAGTAAAATTTAGTAACATTTTCTGAACGTTTGTTCGATATTGTAAATGTTAATGGGGACAAATCGATGATCGTTTTCTACCCCCCTGACAAGACAAATAGAAGGCTCAGGTTGGAAGATTTCTCTTGATTATTATCCAAACTAATGAAATTCTAACTGTTAATGCGGTCCTCAGCTGGGGAAAAAAATCGTACTTATAATGCGCATGTGCTAGAAAAGGTTTCATCCAGAATTAGCGCTCTCAAGATCACTAACATTTGTCTGTTTTAACGATTATTATGGTATAGGGGTAGCTGAAAGAACAACTCAAAGGTTTTCTCAATTGGTGTACAAAGTAGATTTTAATATATATATATATATACTGTACATATTGTGTGTAGAGACTGCCTGGCCAAAAAAAGTCACCACCTAGATTTCAGACATCTAGAGTAGTTTTAGTTAGTCAGATCTAGATTGTAAAGTTATGCCCCCAAAAATGAGGTCAGCTGCCTACCTAAATTTACTGAATGACCAGGCTTTTCCACCAATTGATTTTTTTTCTCCCCTGATGGCACATTGGACATATACCGAGATGACAATGCCAGGATTTTTCCGGCTCAGATTGTGAAAGAATAATTCAGGGAGCATGAGACATCATTTTCTCACATGGATTGGCACCACAGAGTCCAGACCTTAACCCCATTGAGAATCTTTGGGATGTGCTGGAGAAGACTTTACAAAGTGCTTTGACTCTCCCATCATCACTACAAGATCTTGGTGAAAAATTAATGCAATGGATGGAAATAAGTGTTGTGACATTGCATACAAAATGATGCCACGGTGGATGTGTGCCGTAATCACAGCTAAAGGTGGTCCAACTAAAAATTAGAGTGTGTTACTATAGCTATTACACCCCCAGGCTGATGAACTGTATACATAAATATAATAGTACATGCAATATACTATTTAAATACAATTTGCTTTACATGATTATTTTGCTGATTTCATAAGCAATAAAAGAAACTTGTTTAATATGTCTGGAATTCCATACGTAGCCGGTCTGGATGAAATTTTTGAACAAAATTAGTTGACTCAGTGATGGCATCATTGAATTCTCTGACGTTTCATTTTTCAGAATTTCATAAGGGCGGTCAAACGAAATTCTAGCGTATGGCTAGCCTAACATATCATACCTTGTCACCATTTGCTTCTACTCTGTAAAGGACAAACCTCAATACAACGCCTTTGCTAAACTAAAAATCCTAGCAAGCGTTATGAGTCTTGCCTGCTGGACTACAGAATTCAATCTCCTATGAGAAACCGCTATAATAAAAGCGGTTTCTTGCTTTAAGAACAAGGCAAAAAAAAAAAGCTGAGACATTCTTATTAAGGTGGAGAAGGAGATTCAAGGTTATTTTTTGCGCTGTACCTATACAAATCTTTTAGCTATAGTCATAGATCATTAAAATATCTGTGTGTACATACAAGGTAAGGTGAGGTCAGATGTGGATACAGGCAGGACCGGATTGACTGTGTCTGCTGCCCCACGGGCGAGTTCCACAATGCGCCCCCCTGCCCGCCAAACCTCCCCCCAATGAAAAATGACAACCAGGTGGTGGGGGTGGCAGGGTTGGTTTTCTTTTTGTTTTTATTTTTTCTTATTTTTGTAACTTTTGTATCACTTTAAAAAAAAATGTTTTACTTGTTTTAATTTTAATTCATCTTATTATGTTTAACTTTTTACATTTTAAATGGAATTCCAACCAATACAGATCCAGAGGGGGGAATTTATCAAAACTGGAGCAGACAAAAACTGGAGCAGCTGTGCATGGCAACCAATCAGCTTCTCTGTTTCATTTTCAAATCTCAACTGAGCAAACTGAAAAGAGAAGCTGATTAGTTGCCATGCACAGCTGCTCCAGTTTTGATAAATTCCCCTCAGTATGTTTCAATTTTAGGATGAGAAAAATAGGGTTCCATCTTGTTTCTTGAGTCAGTGGCTTAGAGCTTAACTTTCTTCAAAACGGAAAAGCAAGCCTTTAAGTGCATTCAAAGACAACAACCTACCTTCTCAAGGGTATTGTTGTTCATTCGGGCTTTTCTCTTACATGCTCATTCACCCCAATACAGAAAAGTTACTTGTTGATGTTAATCTAGCACTTTGGTCACATCCATGCTCCTATCATTTCTATGTGAATCAGGGTATTCCTAATCCTTTCATGGAGTCTTCTATTGCCTGAAGGGTTCAGAGACCATATCTAATGTCACCTCCACTGAGCTTCAGATATGTCCAACCCTTAGGGCCTTGATTTCCAAGATGCTCACTCACATAGACCTGTGTACTGTTCTATTCCCTGCTATAGATATTTCAGTATCTATTAATGCCCATGCAATGTCCTCCACTATCATTACAGTTGTGAGGGTGGCCACTGGCCAGGCACTGTCAACCCAGTAGTGGGTTGAGGAAGTCAGAGAGAGTGTGACATAAGAACTGATTGCTGATGCACAGAATGATTTTATCTGATGGCCTGAAATCCGTATACAGGAGATGTATTAGAGGGAGCAGGCACAAAAATGTTGTATTTCTCATGTTTTTTATGATAAGTGACAGCAGAACCACAGCTATCATCACAAATGGCAGGGAAAGGATCTCCATGCCACACTACCAAATGGCTGATTGACCCCTGCCACACCAACCAAAAAAAACCATTATTTGAAGATCATTATTCTGTGTATCATCAGTTACATTCTGGAAGAGTCAAAACCACAGGAGAAAACAGCTGGTACTACTAATAGACTACTCGTGGTCAAAAACAGGACACCAACAACAGGCACAGTTACCAACTCATTGCACCAACATCTAGTTATCCTTCATTTTATTAATAAAACATAAAAACTCTATATTACAAAGCATACAAAAATGCAAACATGCAACTTCATAGAGCAGAACCGTACATATACTGTATATTACAACAATCCGGTTTGTCCATATGGCCTTATTATCTTTAAGGGCTAGATTCAGTCAATGAAGAAAAAGTAAGTGCCAAAAGTCTGTTAAGAATGCTAAGTATACAGTTGGTAATTTAAAAAAATGTATGTTCAGCTTCATAACTCTGATAAAAGAGACACCCAACTTATAAAAAAGTAACAAAACCTACTTCATACAATAATACCATGTACAAAAAAAGGTTTAAAAAAACGCAAACACCTTATCTAGACACAGTGAACCGGAAGTACTTCCAGGATATTGATACATTTACTATCCTAACCTTGTAGACTTTATTTATTTTAATTGCATTTGAGCTCTTTACTTAGTCAATTTGCAGTCTTTGGGGTGATGGCTTGGTTTTTTCGATGGAAAGTCCTTTATTTCCTTTCCATGGGTGTTACATTTCTAAATCCAATAGGAATATTTTGAGTTGTGGAAAATAGTTTTTGTTACATAAAACTGTATCAATGCAGAAAGTGTAATGGTCGCGTCACTTATCCATACACCTTTTTCACACCAAGACAGTGCTACACCAACTGAATGTATGTCATTCAATGTTCATTATTATTTGGTTTGGGTGAGTTACCTTAAAAAACAAGCATAACTTGGAGAAGGTCAATCCATTAAACATGGATTGTGTTCACCACATGGACAAAGGTGTTGGCTCTGTAATTATTCTTGAAGAACAGAAACCCCAGATAAAAAATCATAGTGAATTCACCCGTGATCATTGACAATCAAAGCCTGAAGACGTTTAGGGAAATCGACAGATGCAGAACTGAGCGACTCTAATGTTTCGTAATTTGTAGATGAATCTTGACTTCTTGCACTTGGACGTTTTGTACAGGACTGGCACCTCTTTGTAGAATGGCACGCTGATCATCGAGTTGGCTTTGGATGAAACGCAACCTCTGCACAAACAGTAGGCCTCAACGATCTTTGGGGGATATCTGTCCACATTTTCGTTGATTCTAAAAAGGAAAGGTAGGTGAGTTTATTTTGTCCCAAGTAACAGTAAAAGATAAGAGCAATCCATACTTTTTGGACTGTAAACTGTGAAATGAAAGTAGATGTGTGGTCCAAAACTATATACGCATGGAGATTGCCTACGCATTGGGTGGAATTTCTCTAAATTGAAGCAGACAAAATATGGAGCTGTTACATATGGCAACCAATCAGCTTCTCTCTTCAGTCTGTTCAGTTAAGATTTGAAAATGAAAGAGAGAAGCTGATTGGTTGCCATGCACAGCTGCTCCAGCTTTTGTCTGCTCCAGTTTTGATAAATTCCCCGCATTGAGCCTTGTTTTTACATCTATGGATCCTTTCACACTATAGGGTCTATTCACAAAAGGGCGAAAAGTGTGGAGAAGGCAGGAGAAGTGAACAATCTAGGCCAAAATAGCTGATTTGGAACAATTCTCCAATTCAGCTCACTTTCCAGTTTAGCTATGTTGTCCTTGATTGTTCACTTCTCCTGCCTTCTCCAAACTCTTCACCCTTTAGTGAATAGACCCTATGCCTTTGTGGCATTGTGAGTTGGTGGGTTGCAGTGCCATTTACTTTTAATGCCACCCCAACGCACTGCAATGCAGCACAACACATGACGTGCATTGCGTTATACTGCAAAAAAAAAAAGCTGTAGGTAATGTATTAGTCAATGTCCCCAAGCATTGTGTACTTTGAGAAGAATGTACCCCAGAAAGACTTTAGAAGACAGGATTGTCTTACCTGTAGGACCAGGGAGAAATACTTCTGTCCTGCATCAGCTCGGAGGAGACATTGATGCTGGATGGGCACTTCTTCATTTTAATGTCAGGTGGATTGTCTTGCCTGGTGAGAAGCAGGGAATCCGGTGCCTGTCTCAGGAGCTTGGTCCTCAGATGTTCCTCAGAGGGGTCTTTGCATCTATGGTGGCGTTGTCCTTGGCATTCCATATACATCAAGATACAAATCAGAGCCAGCAGCAGCTTCATCTGTAGAAAGATAGCATAAGACGGGTCAAATAGAATCATTCAAATGCTGCAAAAACAAAAACTCCACAGAGATATTATATTTCAGCACAAATCGCCCAACTATATTCCAAAGAAGACATTCCACTGTGGCTTTCTCTTGACATGTCTTGTGTTGGGACTGAATTGGGTAATGATGGCCAATGCAGTGGGTGTGAAGGGCTGCATCACTAATGCATACCTCCTAACTCTCCCTCATTTGGAACTAAATCCCTCTTTCCTCCTTAGAGCTCCCTCTTTGTGGTCTGATGTACAGATATCTATAAAATGTTCTATTTGACTGCCATAAGTAGTATTCAGCACCAAAACCTTCTTCTTATCTCTTAAGTATCTTGTTTGCTACTTTGAAAAGCCAATATAAAGGAAAAGTAATGGTGGAAAAAACAATTCTGGCTTTAACTAATCATTTCTGGCATATAAATTCTCAATGGTTCACATAACTGGAGGCATGGCAGGGGTGTCCATTGTCTAAATACATTGTGCTGAAAGGTGTCCCTCTTTTTCACCTCAGAAGGTTGGGGGGTGTGCATCACTATTGCAGATTTACAGGGAAATTGAGAGGCAGGCTTGAAGTCAATAAAGCCTGCGTCGCAATGTGTTGACTCTGGACTGTCCGCAGTGCACCATAATGATCCTATCTGTCTCTTCTCTGAACAAAGGCCAAAGTCTTGGCAGGTACTGCAATGGTGAGTCAATAGTGATATGACTGTTTGCTTTGCTGGAGGGCAGGGAAGGTACTTCTATTGTTTTCAATAGGGATGCACTGACACCGAGACTAATATCAGTGCCAATACCGAGCATTTGGGCGAGTACGAGTGCTCCGATACTGACCTCCGATACCGGAACTTCCCTCCCTCTGACCAGCAGTGCATAGAGTGGGAGCATAGAGCCAACTTCCTTTCCAATTAGAAAGCCGGGCTGTGGGTTATGACCCGCCTCCCGGCTTCCTGATTGGCTTGGAAGCCGGCTTCACATGTTGTCAGGCAGTCCTTAAAGATTATACGAGACTTTGGTAAATGGGTTTCAATCTACTTTCAAGATTATATATACACTGGGGATGATTTACTAAAGGCAAACAGGCTGTTCTCTTTGCATGGGAATTTGTACTTTGTAGGGGAAGTTTAGGGAATGAGATGAAGCTCTGCTGTCTTTCATCAGCCAATCATCTGCAGGCAAATACCGTTTTATTTTCCTTGCACATGATTGGGGTATTCTTTGCAAAGTGAAATTTCACCACATTCACTAAACTAAGGGAAACCTCCCCTGCAATGTGCAAAATTCCCTTGCAAAGTGAACAGCCTATTTGTCTTTAGTAAATCAACCCCACGGCCTGCAGTGAGGAGCTTTTGTAAATGATTTACTTATAGTCGACCTTTCTAGAGCATTGCCATAAAAAGCTGCAGTGCAAGCACCGGGTTGAAGCCCGCTTTGTCTCAGTGTACCTTGTTTGTAAAAGTAACAAAGTTAGACAGGTCAAAGGTTTCGTTCGCAATGTTTTTGTTTTGATTTTTTTTTTCTTATCAAAACAATCGGCACTAGACGCAAGGTTGGCACCTGAATGTGTGTCTTTAAATACACCTGTTTGTGAACAATTTCACTTAACTCTTTTCAGCCCCGGGACTGTCACAGCTGGCTTTAGATTTAAAGAGCAACGAAAGAAAAAAAAAAAACCTTCACATTTCATGGAACCGGACTATCCAGATTCCGCAAATATGCTGACATTCAGTCTAATGCAGATGGGGGATCAAAAGCAGTTGTCTTAAATTAGCAACGAAGAATGCACAAGTCCTATGTATGAAAAGTTCCGTCTGATGTGCATTTAAACTTGTTTACCCCATGAACATGGGTGTGGAACCCCCGGAGTCAACGCTCCAGTACACGTTCTCTTGCCTTGTACTTGGTGTGCAGTAAAACCTTTGCCTAGTCGCACTCACTGATCATTGATCCATCATAAATGAGTCATAGCAAACCGATTGGTAGCTATAAAGTTGATGTGTCAGTTAGGACTTTGATATCCGAGACAACTGACACAGTTTCAAAAAGACTAAGGGGGTTAGTGACAAAGCTGCCGAAGGCAGTCGAGTGAATAACCGAGCTGAAGTGAAGTGAGCGAACAATTTTCGGCTATTTACTACGGCTCAGTACAGCTGATTTTACGGCTGAGCCGAAGTGCAGAAGGACTTTGACTCAGCTGATCCAACATCTGGATCGGCTGAGCCGAAGCTCTGGCAGCTTGCTCCCTGCCATTCACCCCTATTTACATAGGGCCCGAACGGCAGTGTGTGAACAGCCGAATGCCGACGAGCGGCATTCGGCTGGGCTATTCTGCTCAGTACCTCCGTGGTACTGAGCAGAATAGCAAATAGTAAAAAAAAGTTGAAAAAATATTTTTTTAAATGTGAATAAATATTACATTTTAAAAAAGAAAGATTTTTAAAAAAAGGAAAAAAAAACAATTGGGCAGAGCTAGCAGTGAGAACTAGCTCCGCCCAACTGTTTCCTATTGGCTGGCACCTGCTAGAGTCCCAGCCAATGAATAACAACTGGGCGGAGCCAGCCGTCACATCACGACCGGCTCCACATGGTTGTTATTATTTAATGACAGATCAGCGTCCCCAGGTCATTTGGGGACGCGGATCTGTCATTATAACTGGGTGGAGCCAGCCGTGAGATAATGGCTGGCTCCGCCCAGCTGCCCTTTGCGGGGCTTCGGTCGGCCCATCGGGTGTCACTTCGGCTTAGTTGAGCTGAAGCATATGCCTTCGGCTTGGCTGAGCCGCTCGGCCGCCTTCAGCTGCTGTAGGGCTATAGTGAATAGCCCGTACAGCAGCCCTTCGGTTCGACTGAAACGAAAGGGCTCTGGTGGCCGGAAAGAGCCGAAGGATCAGCCGAAGCTACAGCTGGATCCTTTGGCTACTTTGTGAATAACCCCTTAAGGCTCTATTCACATATAGCATTTGCTTTTCTCGCGTGGTTTTCCGTGCGAAAGACCGTGCAGGACGAAAACGCTAAAATTTTTAATTTGCACGGATTCCGCTCGTTTGCGGATATTATATTGTCGCGAACATGCAGAATCCGCTATAATATCGCACTTGTACTATTTTGTGGATTTTCTTTTCTATTTAGAGCGGCTCCTGTGTGAATGGAGCCTGAAGCTGGCCTTACGCCCAGAGGTGTCCCGAGTGCAGGTGTCACCCGGTGCGGCTGCCAAGGGTCACCAGCTGGGACATCATCACGAACGCGCGTTTTTTTTTCTTCTTAATTTTGATCACACGTGATGTAATCCACATTTTAGGCCTGAGGGTTACTTAAAACCCCCAAAACATTATATATTTTCTAAAAGCCAAGACGCTGTAGAATAAAATGGCGGCAGTTGCAAATTTTTATGTTGCACGATATTGGCACAACTCTTTATCCAATCCCAAAATTTTGTGGAAAATGCACTTCAGTGAATTGTAGTGCTCTAAAGCAGTTAGAAGGCTCTTTATAGAGAGAGATCTCTCCTTTTTCTTGCTTGTTGGTCTGCACATGAAAAACGTTTGCACATAAAATGGTTCCCATACTGCCTCCAATATCACATTCTAGCCCAAGTAATCACATGAAAACCTAGGGGCCCATTCACATCTTTGATGTGCGTTAACATGCGCTGTGTTGCAACCATGTGCTCTTTCCTCTTGTTAGCAACCTGTCTGTGTTAGGATGACAGCACTCTGCAATAAAATACAGCCTGATTGGCTTATAGTGCTGCCCTTTCCCCTCTCTGTTCCCCTGCTGTACAGGGCGATTACTAGAGCCTGAGAGACAAATAATTAGGGTACTGCTTTAACATGTATCTAAATGCAATTCTTTTTTCAAATTTTGTAAAGAGTAGGGCTTGGTTAAAACCCCTGTTATTTCTTCTCATCCCACTGAGAAAATGTATCTTCACTTCCTGCCCTGAAGACAGTAAATGGAAGTCTCTACAATGTAAGAAGGAACCTTACTGTCATGGTTGTCCCCAGTAGATTTCCCGTCACCTCCTGAGCTGGTGACAACTGTAACTTTTTGGATTTCCGTTGACAGTGACAATGGTCACCAGGTCAAATAAAGAGGGTGAATCTACCCAACGGGGACACAGCAATAAAACTCTATTGAGGGTTTTAATCATTCAACGGAAAAAAAAAATACAAAAACATAAGACAAAGTCTTGGCTTTAGATTTATTTTTGAACTGCCTGTATTGCTTCCTTAAACTGTATGCATGGCCAATTTTATTAGCTTTGGATGTTGTAATGAAAGGTAAAACCCTCCTATTTTTTGCTGTTTGGGTAGGATTCCCTTCACTTTCTGTCCAGGAGACTCAAAAGGAAATGAGGGAAAATCTTGTTAAAGTGAAGGGAATTCCCATCTTAGTTGTCACTGGAACCTTGGTCCCCATTGGATGGTATTCCTTCACCTCTTGCTCTGATGACAACCTTTTGGATTTCCCTTTACTCTCTGTCTGGGGTCACCAGGACAAAACAGAGGGGTGACTCTCCCTAGCATTTGACAGACAGAGGGTCTCACCTTTGCCCCCATTCTATCCAAAACATAAAAAAAACAAGTTTTGCCTTTACATTCACTTAAAATGGAAGATCAGGGGCCCCACCTCTGTCATCCCTCAAACAAGGGAAGGCTTTTCTTCTTAAAGAATGGTACACACAGCTCAGGACTTGTATGACAGCATTCTGGAAGGGATTGAAGCTGTTCTAAAGGTGAGTGTCGGCCCTAATCCCTGTAAGTATTTCTAGATCTTCCTGTTATTGTGCCCACCCATTTATAGAGTTTACTGCACCAAAAACAGCTGTCAATGTAAAAGGCAGGAACAAGAAACCGGGCTCCATGGCTTTCATGCCGATGTACATGGATTCTAAGATGGCCATACACCCAACAATTTGATTGTACAAGATTTACATATTCTTAACAAGCTCTAAATGAGCTTTCAAACAAGCACCCACTGACCTCTGTAGCTACAGGCACTGTGGAGCAATTTATCCTCAAACTCCATAGTAGAAATACTGAAGTCATCTAAGTCCTTCTCTCAGCAGCTCTGCTCATCCTGAACTGCTCCACACTTCCTGCAGCTACAGAGGTCAGTGAGGGTTTGTCTTAAAGCTCATTTACTGTTTGTTAGGTATATTTACATATGTGAAGATCTATAGACAGGACACAAGATTGCTAGAAGGCAAAGTGCAATTTGCAAAGTGTAATAATTAACAAAACTGAATGAGGATTTATCTATCTGACTACAAATAGTCTGAAACTCATAGCTGAGTAACAATGATTACATATTGCACAGCATCTGCAGAGAACTTCAAGGATTTGCAAAGTTTGAAAATCACAAACTTTTCACCGTCAGAACTATGCAACAACCTATAATGCAATGCATAGACTTTGCCCCTCATTAGCTGAGTCACAAGAACCAATATTATGGGAATGAATAACAAATATTGTATCGGGAGAGACACTGTATATATATCTATATAGATCTATATAGATCTATATAGATATATATATATGGGATGCTTGTATCGGTATCTGTGCCAATACTGGGTATTTGGGTGAGTACTCGTACTAGCCCAAATGCTCCGATATGGGAACTTCTGGTCAGAGGAAGATTTCCTCTGACCGGCAGTGCTGTAGGGAAACATGGAGCCAGCTTCCCGGCCAATCAGGAAGCCGGGCAGCGAGTCATTACCCACTGCCCGGCTTCCTAATTGGCTGGGAAGCCTGCTCCATGTAATTTGGCTGGTTCAATCCTGATTGGCCGGGAAGCCGGATTCCTAGCTAATCAGCATTGAGCCGGCTAAAGAGCATGGAGGCAGCTTCCCGGCGAATCAGGAAGCTGGGACATTGCCAGCCGCCCGGCTTCCTGATTGGCCGGGAAGCCGGCTCCATGTTCCCCTACGGCACTGCCAATCAGAGGAAAATACTGAAATATGAATATTAGTACTCGTACTCAATACCGATAAACCTAATCTATCTATCTATCTATCTATCTATCTATCTATCTATCTATCTATCTATCTATCTATCTATCTATCTGTCTGTCTATCTATCTATCTATCTATCTATCTATCTATCTATTTTTTTCATAGCAGGGTTTTGTTTTGTTTTTGCAGTCAGCACCCAGACTAATGCTGACCATACGCTGGTATATTTTTGATCGAACTTTCATACGGAAAATATCTTCAGAACTTTTCATAATGCCATCAGAGATTTATAATACATCCTTTTGCCGTTTCTCTTTTTTTTTTACAGTCAAAATGAATAGTGGATGTAACCCCATCAACTATGAGAAAATGGAACGAACAATTTTTTTCTAAGGAAATTCTAGTGATGTCTAGCCAGCTTAATCGGTGACAATGAGGTTGATTTAGTAAAGGAGTAGAGGCTGTTTACTTTGCAAAGTAAATGTTCATATGGTGCTAAGTGAATGATAGTAATAGAGTGAACTTTAAAATACACTTAAATGCCAAATTATGCCATAGCAAAAATCTTTTTTTTTTAAATCCATTTTCCTTGCAAAAGATTGTGTATTCATAGTGAACACAGGTTCACCCTATTTAATAAATTTTGTTTTGCTGAATGAACAGTCTCTACTCCTTTAGAGTCAACACCAATGTTGGTGAATAAGGATTTGGGATATGCAATCATATGCAAGACAGCTAAAAAAACAAAACAAAGCTGGCTTAATGAAGAGAACACACCTTTTTTTATATAGGGAACATTCACCTTGCTAAGTAAATAGTCTCTATCCCTTTAATAACTCCAGCCCTGGGTAACTATACTAGGTAACTATATGTAACTGACTAATCTGTGAACTCGCTGCAAAAACTTGCTTATATTATTAATTCATCTTTCAAATAATTTTTTTGAGCCTGCACTATTATTTCTATGAACAGTGCCAGGAGGATAATTATATTGAACATATTAGCATTACCCATTATCAGCATTACTTTGGCTAGCTTCAGCAGCCTGCCCTTAAAGATGTACTCCATTTTTCTCCAAGGGTAATTATAATTTTAAGCCCAACTCCGATCTCCACAGTCAGGGCCGAAGCTAGGGAGGGGCTGGGGGGGGGGGGGGGGGGCCCCCCCCCCCCCTGCTGCCACTTTAGGATGGGTGCCATCAGATGTGTGGTTGAAGAACTTCTTCTCCCTTGGGGGGGTGAGGGGGGGCTGAGCCTTTGCCCTGGGTGACAGAATGTCCAGCTTCCCCACTGTCCACAGTTCCCCCACTGCCCCCCTATCCCCATGAATGTTCCCTAGGCTGTATTTTATGCAATTTTTTTAAAAATACTCCCCCGTTTCTGAAGTCTTTAGACTGGTCACAGTCACCTTTTCTGCAAGCTGGATGGCCCTCAATGTTGTGCTCCACTGCACAGTGAATGCATGCGGTCTTCTGGGTTGAGTGATGCTGGGTGTCAATTGACCAGAAGACTGAGGACAGGTCTGGAATGCCATGGCTATCCTCTATATGTAAATATGCTGGTTGGCTATGCTGTTCCTTTGCCTTTAAAAAGTTGGGTCACTGACCAAGATCAGGTATCAAGGTCTGTTCTGACTTACCTGACCTGTACAATTGCTCCAGGTAGGTAGCTCAGAAAGTATTGAAGCCAAAGGATCAGCATAAGAACAACGGGAATTTTCAGAAGGAGGCCAGCAATGGCAATATCAGAATTCTCATCATGACAGGTTCACTTTACTGTATTAAACAATACACTCTGAGTGGGATATGTCCAATGGAAATCTTACACTGTGTCTGAATTTAGGACTCTACGTACAGTACCAATGAGAGAGTATCTCTGATGGGCGTTAGGCGGCTTTACAAAGAGTAAACATCAATACGTAATAGTAAAGATACTGAACAACTAGAGCTAGAGCTACAGATGACACATCTACAGGTACATCCACACTGTAAAATTCCACTCAGAAGATTATGTTTAACAACCTATATCCACATTCCTGCATAGAGAGTAGACCTAGTCTCCAATTACACAGCACACACTACGACACAACCACTGCAGGTGCTATGGATCAGATATCAAGCTCTGTTGCTCCAGTGGCCGCAGTGTATACTAGGGTGCGAAGTTTAACCATATAGGGCATAATTAATTTTAATACAACCACAACTCTACTACAACATGCAGATCTGTACCTGACCTGTATATCAATACACAACTCTACTACAACATGCAGATCTGTACTGGACCTGTATATCCATACACAACGCTACTATACTATGCAAAGAAATATATACTGCATCTGAATATCAATTCACAACTCTACTACACCATGCAGATCTGTATCGGACCTGTATATCCATACACAAGGCTACTATACTATGCAAATCTATACAGGACCTGTATATCCATACACAACGCTACTATACTATGCAAAGAAATATATATTGGATCTGAATATCAATTCACAACTCTACTACACCATGCAAATCTATACTGGACCTGTATATAAATACACAACTCTACTACACCATGCAAATCTATACTGGACCTGTATATAAATACACAACTCTACTACAACATGCAAATCTGTGTCGGACCTATACATATCATAACACAACTCTACTACACCATGCAAATCTATACTGGACCTGTATATCAGTACACAACTCTACTACAACATGCAAATCTATACTGGACCTGTATATAAATACACAACTCTACTACAACATGCAAATCTGGGTCGGACCCATACATATCATAACACAACTCTACTACACCATGCAGATCTGTACTGGCCCTCTATATCAATACACAACTCTACTACAACATGTAGATCTGTGTCGGACTTGTATATCATTACACAACTCTACTAGACCATGTAGATCTGTACCGGATCTGTATATCAATAAACAAATCTACTACTGGACCTGTATATCAATACGCAACTCTACTACACCATGCAAATCTGTACTGGACCTGTATATCAATACACAACTCAACTACAACATGCAGATCTGTAACTGACCTGTATATCAATACACAACTCTACTACACCATGCAAATCTGTACTGGACCTGTATATCAATACACAACTCTACTACAAAATGCAAATCTATACCGCACCTGTATATAAATACACAACACTACTACAACATGCAGATCTGTACTGGGCCTGTATATCAATATACAACTCTACTACAACACGTAGTTCTGTATCGGACCAGTATATCAATACACAACTCTACTACACCATGCAAATCTGTACCGGACCTGTATATCAATACACAACTCTACTACACCCTGCAGATCTGTACCGGACCTGTAGATCAACACACAACTCTACTACACCCGATAGATAGATAGATAGATAGATAGATAGATAGATAGATAGATAGACACAAAACCAAACATATCAATAGAATATAGATAAATAAAAGGATACAGATTGTACAATAGACAAATTAACAGATGACAGGCAGTAGTAGGTCAAAAGATGATAACAATAGATAAAGAAATGGACAGATTCATAGATTACAGATTGACTAATGGAAGATGAATAGAGAGATAGATAGATAGATAGATAGATAGATAGATAGATAGATAGATAGATAGATAGATAGATAGGTCACTAGGTACAGTAGGTATCTACCATTGTAACATTGTATTATTTTGCATCCTTTCTAACCCCTGAACTTACAAATCCAATGTACAGTCGCTGCCTCAGTGTGACTTCAGGAAATCTTTTAACAATTATCTTTATAACAATTTGGGTAAAAACATAAGCCAATTCCTGGTACCAGGCCTGGTGGGTACTCCATCGATTGGGTCTCACCTTGTAGCTATCTCTCAGTCACAGGCTTAATAAAGGAAGAGATGAGTTTTGCGAAACTGAATTCTCGGCTGGCTTTATAACCTGCTGTGATTACCGCCTCCTTACCATATGATATGATCACCTTGTTGTAACCTGAAACTGAACGAGGAACTGGTTGGCCAGTTGTCTGGGTGAAAGCCAGAATTCGACTGCTTGTAAAAAAAAACAAAACAACATACACACCCAGAGGTGTCATACCTGCTGTGCACTTTGAACTCGAGTGTTACAAGAAAACAGCCTGGTGCAAGGAAAAAGAAAAAGTTCAGGTTTAATCTCATTTCATAAGTTCATGTTGTTGGATTCCATGGTTTGCAGAGCGTCTTAGCATCCTGTATCACCTGTGTAGGAAAATCCCTGTTTGTATTGATAGGGAAACACCATTTATTTTTATTTGTAGGGATAGGTTAATGTGGACACTATGCCCACCAGCGTACCTGGGAACTTTTAGAAATTTCTCCAAATAGTTATTTTTTTAAAAGTGGAAGAGGCTTAAAGGATAGGCCTGGAGTCTACAGAATGGTGGATATGTGGGTGCACTGTGTGTACACTATTCCAGTGACACTGACAGAGCATCAGGCTCCCCCCCATCCATCATTCCATTGACACTGTCAGTGCACCTGATTCTCCCCTGTCCACCATTCCATTGACAATAACAGTGCACCTGGATCAACCTAATCCCCATTCCATTGACAATAACAGGGCAACTGGATCCAACCTATCCCTCTTTCCATTGACAATAGCAGTGCACCTGGCTCCAACCTATCCACCATTCCAATGACATTGACAGTGCACCTGATTCTCACCTATCCACCAATTCAGTGACACTGGCAGTGCACCGGATTCCCCCCTGTCTACCATTCCATTGACAATAACAGTGCACCTGGATCAACCTATCCCCCATTCCATTGACAATGACAGGGCACCTGGATCCAACCTTTCCACCATTCTATTGGCAATAACAGTGCATCTGGATCCAACTTATCCCCCATTCCATTGACAATAACAGGGCACCTGGATCCAACCTATCCACCATTCCATTGACACTGACAGTTCACCTGGCTCCCACCTAGCTGCCATTGCATTGACACTGACAAGGCACCTGGTTCCGACCTATCCCCCATTCCTTGACACTGACAGTGCACCTAGATCTAACCTATACACTATTCCATTGACTCTGACAATAACAGTGCCCGTAGGTGGGAGCCAGATGCATTTCCAGTGTCAATGGAATGGTGGATAGGTGGGAGCAAAGTGCACACACCAACCCAGTGACATTGCCCCCTACAGGCACTGTAAGTGTCACTGGAAAGGCCACCTACAGGCAGATACGTGAAGTAGGTGGGAGCCAGGTGCGGTGTCAGTCACTGTCACTGTATGAATACTATTCGATCAATGTAAATGTTTCGTTATTGACCCATCATACAGATCACAAATTCCCAAATTGCCGTGTCATTTCCGGCAAGTTCCCACCTCTGCCCACCAGGAACAAATTTTGAGACCCATTAAAATTTCAATACAGGGGTTTGTGTTGAGTAGCAAATAAGGAAAGTGCTGCATCTCAATCAAAAGCATGTTTGTCAAAAATGGCCACCAGAGCCCTGACCAAAGAGTAGGGATGAGCTCAGGCTCAGTCTGAACTTGAGTTTGTCTAAACCTGGTAGGACACTGTCAGTGCCGGCCCAATCAGCTGTGGACAGGACATTTTCCGCCCTGCAGTTACACACAAATGATTAGGCATTTTGCTGGTGGAATCATTGACTTTATATTGAGGTTTAATCTGGACTTGGGTAGAAGTAGAGACCCCATGTACAGCCACAGGGACACAAAAAACATGTAAAGACAGGAAAGCTGGACTCCGGCACTGTTGCTAAGAGGTCAGGTTTATTTTAAATATATTTGTAAATGGATCTATTGTAAACAGATGGATTTGCCTAGATAGCAGCCTACTATAGTCCCTGTCAGAATGTTTACTCTGATAAAATAAACAGTTCTCTATTTATGAAAATAGGCCAGGATCTGGAATTAAGGAGATTCCCAACTTATTTTCACAAATCAACAAAAATAATAACTCAAGTTCATATATTTGGGCTAACCTGAAGACAAAAATGAATGCAATAGCTGTGCAAAAATGTATATATTTATTAACTAAGAATCAGTGCAAAAATGATAATCAAACGATAATTGGTGATACACAAGAAATCAATTGGATCAAAGTTTCAATAATATTGATCAACACAGATAATGAGAAAAATAAAACCACAGGATATTATTTCAAATATAAATGAAACAAAACTCAGTAACTCCTGGAATGCAATTAGTAGCTTATCATTAGCTCAGCAGAATGTAACAACACAATGTACAGATTTGACACGTGATCTCTCTCAGACAACAGATATTCAACAGCTCAAAATGTATACTGCACAAGATATATCATGCACAGAATTGGCTCTTAGCCAAGTTTCTATTTAAGGCTAAAACAAACTTCCACTAAATTATTTTTAATTTTTAAGTATACACCACAACCGCACCATAGACTAGAAACTGAAATCAGTTTCAGAGAGATATACATATATGTGTATTTCCCTCTCAAGATTGGAAAAGAGACCGGTCGTACTGCAGTTAGAGTGATCTATATTCAAATCTTGATGCTACTAGGACCAAATGGTTTAGTCAGATGTATATGGCTATCAATTGCCTGCAGATAAATAGAAATGATACTTTACCAAAAATGTTAGATCTTTTTGTCTGAAAGATTTCAGCTTTGTGCCGGTTCCCTTAGACAGCCCTTCAATCAGCTTCAGATCTCCACCTCTCGTGTGTATATAGATCTCCCGTATGAAGAAGAAACTCTCGTATAAAGAATAATCCAGTATGAAGAAGAAGAATTCAGTATCAAGAAGAAGAATCATCCGACCCCCTAAGAATAATGCCGTATATTCTTCTCCTAACTTTTTATCACCCCAAAATGTGGGCCTGGTTTGGTTTGCTTATCTTTTACTTTTAATTATGATGCCAGAAGGGCGGGACTTTCTAACACGATCCCTGTGACTACCGGAAGAGGGCAATGTTGGATTAGAAATCACTCTTGGACCTTTCTTTAAAACTTCAACATAAGATTGAGATGCAATTTGCCGACACATTGGTTACCTTAAAATCGTCAACTGATATAACATTATACCCAACCTAATTTGTACTTAAAACATAAACACATCAAATTGATTATATATGCTAATATGTATAACCACACAATATATAATGAATATAGGTTGAATATTATAAGAATATATATTTTAAAAAATCAGTATACCATTAAGTATGTTAATGCATCATGCCATACTAATAATACAATTGAAATGATTGCTAATATGGTTAGTTCAATAATAATTGTATCTAAGACAACTTTATAACGTGCTTGTTATTTTTCTTTTTCTCATTCATGAAAAGACATTAATCAAAGACCTTGTTGTCCATTGTTAGACAATATGTGTGATTCTAACACAGCCTAGCTCAAGGCCAGTCCATATCTCGTAGATGACACTTCTCACCAACCATAACCGGAGAAGTATAACTTCCTGGCTGTTTTGTATCATTTTAATGATTTTCTCACGATTTACGATGTGGGATAAGTTTCCAAGAAACATTTCTGAAAATTTTTGTCCGGAACTCATAACTTAAGTTCCATTTAGATCTGTTAGTATTACAAAATGGCTTTCAGATTGCCATCTTATAATGTGTAGAAAAAAATGTATAGGCCTTATTGTCCAATTCTTTAGCCTCAATAGTTCTGACATCCCCTACACAGCAGCCCTCTCACAGAGAGGAAGTCAACACTGGGAGCCAATCAGGTGCTGATAGGGAACATGCTGACAGTAGGATAGAGCAGACTGAGTGATAAACTATTGCTTCTTTTACTATCCAGTCAGCCTGAAGGGGGGGGGAGGGGGGTTGTCCCTGACCACAAATGCTGCTGCTTTTGCACTGGAGGTCAAGCAGCTGGCTGTACTGTCTGGCAGGTTACCTACATCATAAGATTATTTACATAATTACAAATTATTAGCCTGTAAAACCATTTCCAAATAAGTATTTTAATTGTGTGTATAGCAGCTTGCCTGGCATTCAGCTGTAACGCATAAACATATATCACTGTCATGCCAGTCTGGTTAATTGCATTTAATCCCGTCCTACCCTGCTTGCGTTGCCAGCTGCCGCAGCTGAAGAACCTGTTTTTCCAACTCATGCCAGATTTATATAATGTGATCCAATTCACTAATTAAGGGTTACTCCGGCTCACATGCTTAAAGAGGAATCAACCATGGCCTAATGTTTTCTAGAAATGTGAAAGAGATCAGCTTGATGCAAATAATCTTATCAAAGCGGGTTAATGTATATACAATCTCTAATATATTAACACACATTGATCCCCTTATCTCATTGCAAGTCTCCCAGGCAGGGTCCATCTGATAATAGTAGGCTCTGTGCAGTCTCTAATGACCTGAAACACTCTCATAGCACGGGACTTTAGGGGGTTGGGTGCTGTCAAGGAATGGTCAGTGCTGGAGGGGGGAAGGCGTGCGCTCAACTGCGCTGTCGGCGGCTCTGTCCGGCGTCCTGCACAGCTCACTAACATCACTGGTTGCCAGGTGCTAGATGGGATGCAAGCCAGAGCGTCTGCTCAGCTCCTGGCAACTGATGATGTCAGTGAGCTGAGCAGCAATGCACATAGTGTCAGAGGTTGCTCTTAGCAACCTGGGACATTGTGGCTGCCCCCTTGCCATCCCCACCACCTGGCTGCCCCCTTGCCATCCCCACCACCCAGCTGCCTCCTTGCCATCCCCACCAGTGCCACCCGGCTGCCCCCTTGCCATCCCCACCACTGCCACCCCGCTGCCCCCTTGCCCTCCCCACCACTGCCACCCCGCTGCCCCCTTGCCCTCCCCACCACTGCCACCCCGCTGCCCCCTTGCCCTCCCCACCACTGCCACCCCGCTGCCCCCTTGCCCTCCCCACCACTGCCACCCCG